AAATGGAGAAAAGTACACCAGAAACAGATAAAGCTAGAGAAAGCTCAAGGGAGGAAGGAAGGGTGGAGGAAGGTATGATGGAACTTCAAATAGCTACCAAGAAATCAGCGGAGGGCAAGAAGGTGGGAATTGGTGTGGTAGCCAGGCAGGTTGGAGGGAGAATCAGAGCTGAATGGAAACTAGTAGAAAGAAGCTCGGGAAAGGATATTCAAGACGAAGCTAAAGCAGTAAGACTGGTAATTATGAAAGCAAGACAATTGAGCTGGCAGAGAATCAAAATCATCAATGCGAACAAACAGCTCATAGCTTTGCTGAAATCTGGGAAAGGAGACAGTCCAAATACTGCTACATTGGTGGAAGACATACAAGCTTTAGCTAATCTGTTTCAAATGTGCTCTTTTGAAGAAAGAACTAGTTGTAATATGACTTTATGTAATCACATTTGCCATTATGCTTTAAGCATATGTAGGGATGAGGAGAGATTTTTTGGCTCTCCTCAAGTGCCTTGGTGCACTTAGTACAGCTGGTTGAGCCATTGCTAAAATATTGTAAAGATACCTCTATTTATAAAATGACATCTATCGTTTCCGGAAAAAAAAAAAAGATTCTTCATAAAAAATACTTTCACTTTCTATCTTCACTCACGTCCAATTGCCAACTTCATCTTACTAGCATATAGAGCTGTTAATCGAATCGGGTAGCTCGCGAACCGAGCTCGACCCGGCTCGATAAGGGCTCGATTCGGCTCGTTTATTGAGAGAAACGAGCTGAGCTCGAGTTCAACTGGATACTCGTTTAATAGACGAGCCAAGCTATGCTTGACTCATTTAAAGCTCGAAAGGCTCGAATAGTAGGGGCATTAGCGTCATTTCAATATGTATTTGATATTCTAACCTAATTCATTCTCCCGTTTCGAGCTCGATAAGCTTGGCTTGTGGTTTTCGCTCGAGTTTCGAGCTTGATAAGCTCGACTCGATAGAAAACTCAAGAGCTCGAACTTGAGTTTTCTATCGAGTACACCGAGTCGATCTCGAACAACTTGTGAAGATCGAATTACTAATCGAGTGAGCTCGAACTAGCTCGATTAGAGGTTCGAGTCGAGCTCGATTATCATGTACTCGAGCTCGACTCGACTCGTTAACAGCTTGTTAGGATCTAGACGCGAAACAAATAACTATTGAGACATCAAATGCACAATAATTTAATGAGAAACAAGTCACAAGCATGAAAGATAAATGACACACAATATTTAACGTGGTTCGGCTTCACCATTGAGCCTACGTCCACAGAGAGAAACCTGTTCTTTATTATGAGAGGAAAACCCTATACAAGAATACAACTTGAACCCAAACCCAACCCTTGTATACCATCTCTCATCTCCCAAGAACCCTCTCTCACACCCCATGTATAAGGTTACATGATGCCCCTTGTGTCCCCTTGTGTGTGTCTTGTGTAGTATGCCAACCCACCTATTTATAGGAAACATTACTGTCAAAAAAAATCAAATAACAATTGGAAACCAATATTATTTCCTAAACTCATATAGAGTAGGAAATAGCATCTAATTCCTGCTAAATAGGGTTTTACTTGACTACTACTTCAGGTAACTAAATCCAATTAGGAAGTTAGTTACTTCCCACACCAAATAAGAAATCTACTTAAAAGAATTTAAGCCAATTTACTAACAAATCTCCACCTTGGCGAAAATTTTTTTTAGAAATCATTTGCCTTCAACTACCAAATAATATGGTACCAAACTACACATTCGAATCAATACAGTCCTGACACCAAATTGATTCAATCGGCAAATGAACATGTATAGCTACCCCGAGTCCAACCTCCAGTTGACTCGTGAGAAGGTGTCTCAAATCACTATCTCCCTTTGCAAGATTTCTTCTCACCACCACTTGCAATCCAGGATCCACTTCTGTGAGATCTAATCCTAACCATTGAGGTAACTAAGTGATAAAATCACCATACTTCTTCTCATCCTCAGGACTGTCTCGCCACTTGTGGTTTCCAAGACTCCACCTAAAACGAAAAACTCGTAACTGTCAGAGTCTTCTGGCGCATGAAAATTAGATTTCTTTGTTTCTTTGGGACACGTGTCACACCACCCAAAGAACATAACTGAGATCTAAAAGCCATCGGGATGGAGTATCAATCGTTGGAGATGTGAGAAAGTCTCCACCGATTCACGTCCAAAATCAACATTGGACTCCACCTTTTCCTTGACCCTTGAATCACCTGCCTAGATTCACCATCAAACATCTTCATACTTTTCGACTTTTCATCCTTCACCATCAATGCTTTTTGACAAGTCATTGAAACAAGGATACCACCCATTAAATTGTTCAATTAGTAACAACTACCAATCCATTTGATCTCAATAGTTAATTAGGATCCAACTACAAATCTTGAGCAGGCCAGTCTCGCAACCAAGCTCTGATACCACTTGTTAGGATCCAGACGCAGAACAAACAACTATTGAGACATAAATGCACAACAATTTAATGAGGAACAAGTCACAAGCATGAAAGATAAATGACACACAATATTTAACGTGGTTCGACTCCATCATTGAGCCTACGTCCACGGAGAGAAATCTGTTCTTTATTATGAGAGGAAAACCCTATATAAAAATACAATTTGAACCCAAGCTCAACCCTTGTATACCATCTGTCATCTCCCAAGAACCCTCTCTCACACCCCATGTATAAGGCTACATGATGCCCCTTGTGTCTCCTTGTGTGTGTCTTGTGTAGTATGCCAACCCACCTATTTATAGGGAACATTACTGCAAAAAAAAATCAAATAGCAATTGGAAACCAATATTATTTCCTAAACTCATATAGAGTAGGAAATAACATCTAATTCCTGCTAAATATGGTTTTACTTGACTACTACTTCAGGTAACTAAATCCAATTAGGAAACTAGTTACTTCCCACACCAAATAAGAAATCTATCTAAAAGAATTTAAGCCAATTTCCTAACACAGCTCTATTAGCATAATCTTGAAAAAAAAAAAGAGATGAAATATGAATTTACCTTTTTTGTGGACATAGTTTTCTCGGTTTTCAAAGCACAAGCAACATAAAGAACAAGCAAACTAATAACTCATTACTAATCTGGCATACACTATTGAGTATTTTTCTGATCCAAAATTTACTAGATCCATTGAGATAATCTTACAATTAAAAATGCTAAAGAGGCTAAAAATTTGTATATTGATAAAAAAATCACACACATAAGCAAAAATTAGATTTTTATGCAGCTACATGGGTCTTTATGAGACTCAACTGCGAAGATTTCGTATGATGTTTGTGTTCTCCTTATCTTAAGAATTTTTTCTTCATCTTTCAATGTTTCCACTCTTTCTTTCTTTCTCTGTAATTAATCTTCTCGATAAACTAAGCAAAACTTTAATAATACATCAGATTCGTGTAACTTAACTTGCATAAACTCTCATGAACTTCCTCCCATGAAAGGTTTGATTTTGTAAGAATGAGGAAAATCATAGGTTTTGTTCCTCTAGAATTGAAGGGTTTTCCTTGCCTTTTCTCTTTCGATTTTTTCTTCTTCTTTTTAATTGAAAAATAGTAGTGTAATACAAGAACGGGAACTCTAACTTTTCTTGGGAGGAGCAATGTGGCTTTTTAACAATCACGAGGTCCATAAAATGGGTCTGCATACCGGTTCATCCAAGTATTTGTTGAGAAATTGTAGTAAATAACAAATCTAAACTAGACAAATGCAGAGACTTTGAGGCATGAAAACACTTTCTTTAAGGTGTTATTTGCCTCAGTTAGACAAATTACCTCTAGGGTACAATAAAGTCTGTAAACTATCAAATGAAAGGAAAAAGTGATTTAATTCCGTCAAAATCTTACTATTTAAAAGAATCGAAGTACCTATCCAAGGCACTATCAAAGGATGCAATCCTTATTGAATAGGTGTATAGGTAGTTAACCAATAAATAGATATGTCTGCTAAATGTAACCATCATTAACTACCTCTAATCTAACCCCCTATCCTAATCAGGAAGCCCCAAGGTGCCCCAAGTGCCCTTGTCAAGATTTTATATATCTTCCGATTCATATTCAAGTGTATGAGATATAAATTGAAATAACTTTCCCACCAAACTAATATTTTGGAACAAGTTTTTAAAGGAAACAAGATAATGATGCATATATAGACAATGCGCACTCTATCCTCTTTCAATGTGGGACAATGAACTTCAACATTCTCATTACAAACTATTACCAACAGTTTTTGCCATTTACAAACTAGTTTAGCAATACAAAACCATTTGGAAGCACGGCTTTTTTATGTAAAAGATAATCAATTCTTAGAGAAATGATTTTAAAAAAAATGGTGATCTTTGATAAGCATTCCTAGAAAGTTTTATTTTCTTTTCAACATGAATTTCTAGACAATTGTTTTGGCTCAAAAATACTTTTGAATAAGGCTTAATTTTACAATTATTGTAACTTTTAACAGTATTTTGTAGTATATCATTTTCAAATATGGTTCATGGTTCTGTCAAATGGCCAATCAATTCTTATTCAGCCAAGTTAACTTGAGCAACTAAATCCATGTTAAACAGTTTAAACTAGAAATCTTACTATAGCGTCAAATTTAGTAATACTCAAAATCAATCAACACTCCGTTACTTGAGCAATTTACCAGTATAGACTATCAATTATTTTCTTAGGGAGACTTAGGCTATTTTTAGTGGCAATTTGATTTTTCCATAATAATTAACTTAACTACTTGGTAGTGTCCAAAGCACCTTTTTGACACTCAAAAAGAATTTTCCTTGAGGCTTGATCTAGGTCCCCACTTTTTCCTTTTTTTTTTTTTTTTTTTTTTTTTTCTTTTGGAGAAGGCTTAAGCTAGACATAGTAATATGGCACCATGTCTTTGTATTTGTGTATTACGAAAATGCCCCTCTCATGTTGCTTTCTTGAATTGACCGTTATTAACCGTTAAAGGGGAGCTCTGTTTGAATGGTAATACTACAAAGCAATGGAGCATTCTATGCTCCAATTGTTGCAGAAATGCAAAACGATCAAACAATTGAAACAAACCCATCTTCAGATTATCGTCAATGGCCTCAAAGATGACAACTTTATTGTACCCAAACTCATAAGTCGATCCTCAGACCTTTCACTTGACTATGCTGTTGCAACTTTTGAAAGTATGAATAATCCCAGTGTTATATCTTATAATACTTTGATTCAATGCTTCATTGGTAAGACTAGTAATGATGCATTATTGACTTATAAAAAGATGAGGGCCTCAATGATTTCGCCTAACAGTTTCACATTCACTTTTCTTTTGAGATGTTTCGAGTCTTTTGAGGCGTTGGGAGATGGTGAAATGGTGCATAATCAGATTGTGAAGCTGGGATTTGAGTCAAGTGTTTTTGTTATGAATACGCTTATGGATTTTTATGGCAACTGTTGTGGGGATTTGGGTGTGGCTCGAAAGGTGTTTGACTATATGCCTAAAAGAGATGTTGTCTCGTGGAATACGTTGATTGGACGGTGTATGAGCCGTGGAGAGATAGAATCTGCAATTGGGCTGTTTGAGTCCATGCCGGAAAGGAGTATTGTGACATGGAATTCGGTTATCAGTGGGCTTTTGAGAGCTCGAAAATTGGAGTTAGCTCATTCTGTATTTCAACGTATGCCAGAAAGAAATGATGTTTCTTGGAATACAATGTTGTCTGGTTATGTAAAGGTTGGTGATATGGAAACTGCACAGGCGATCTTTAATAAGATGCCGGAAAGAAGTGTAGTCTCTTGGACAGCTATGGTTTCAGGGTATGCAACGGTTGGTGACCTTCCATCAGCAAGGAAGATTTTTGGTGAGATGCCAGCAAAAAATGTGGTTTCTTGGAATGCAATGATTGCAGGTTATGTTAACGGTCACTTGTTTGATCAAGCACTTTCCGTGTTTCATCATATGTTAATTGATGGCAGATGCAAGCCTGATCAAACTACTTTAGTTAGTGTCCTGTCGGCTTGTGCTCACTTGGGATCTCATGACCATGGAAAATGGGTTGACTCCTATGTTAGGAAAAATAAATTTGAACTGTCACTTCCACTGGGTAATGCTTTGATAGACATGTATGCGAAATGTGGGGATGTAGAAAATGGAAGAGCAGTTTTTCAAAAGATGAACAAGAGATGTATTATTACTTGGACTTCAATAATATCAGGATTGGCAGTCAATGGATATTGTACTGAAGCCTTAGACCTATACGATGAAATGTGCTCAGAAGGACTAAAACCAGATGATGTGATTTTTATTGCAGTTCTTTCAGCTTGCACACATGGAGGACTGGTGAAAGAAGGTAAAAGGGTTTATGATCAGATGGTGCACGACTTTGATATTACACCACGAATTGAGCATTATGGCTGCATGGTTGATCTCCTTGGTCGAGCAGGAAAGTTGGAAGAGGCATTAAGGATCATAGAGAGCATGCATTTACAACCTAATGCTGTCATTTGGGCTACTATACTTTCTGCTTGTAAGATCCATGGTAATGGAAAGTTGTTGGAGTCACTGACAAGAAAGATCTTCGAGCAAGAGCCAATGAATCCTGGTTACTTAACATTGATTACAAATTTAAGCTTGCATGTTGGAAGATGGCAAGATGCATTGGACGTCCATGTAGCAAGTAGGCAACAGGGAACAGAAAAGGCACCTGGTTGTAGCTCAATCCAAATAGGAAACAGTGTGCATGAATTTTTAGCTAAGGATACAAGGCATACACAAAGGAAAGAGGTCTATAGGTCTTTAGCTAGCCTGAATGGACACTTAAAGTCAGTTTATGACATGCAGGGACTCCTGGCCCTTGCATTGACTACCAATGCTTCTTCTCAGAGTCAGACGTGCAAGAACTCTGGTTAATGCATAGATATGTATAAGCTTCGACTTTTTCTTGATCTGATATCCGAGAGGAAAGCTATGCTGTCACAGATGGACAACATACTTGTATGGGTAATATGTGAACTGTATTTAGATTTTGTAGATAAAAAGCATTTGTGCTTTATGAAACTTAAGTGAAGCACATCTAACTTGTACATTTATTTTTGAAGATACTGCTCTGGCTCTCAGCTATCACGGATAGAATGAGGAGTTCATCCTTTGGCTTTTCAACAGTAATGCTGATTCTGCAACTTCTTCCATTATCGCTGCTCAACTCATTGCTGGCTCTGGAATTCGAAAAAAAAAGAGGTAGGACCACTCTTTTTTGCTGTAACTAAATGGGTTTCCATCATAAAGTGTTTCTTGATCACTAATGCTCTTTCATTGCGTGATGCTCATCAATGGAAGCCATCTAAAAGTATTTTTCATGGCAAAAAATTAGTGACAGCAGATACTTTTATTCTTTTTACAAAACAGCTACTGGTTTCATGTAACAACGAATAGCAATAAGTGACATGATTAAACTAACTAAACTCTTTAGTAGTTACCATGTTTATTGCTCACTATGAATTTTCATATTCTGATGAAGTTTCAGAGCCCTTTCTACTTAATTGCTTGAGTGAACCAAACAATTATTTATCCAAGTCTTCTAAAGTGACAGTTTTATTTTCGCTTGTTGGAAAATTTGAAATGAAGCGAATACAAATTAAAGAAGCTGCTTGTACTTGTTTTGAAACTAATTAAGATAGAAAAAGTACTTTTTTTTTTTGGGATACAAACACCTAGTTGTGGCCAAATGAAAGTTAGTTTGCTGTGGCACTAAAAGTTGCATTGAATGCCAAGTTTCAGAATAGCATGCTGCACGAGTTATTTCACAAAAAAGAGCTGTAAAAACCATAACTTTTATGAAATTTCAAGACCATGATAGGCATTTTTCTTTGGCATACATCATCCGCACATGAATGTAAATAATCTTTACGCATCCATAGCATAGAATAGTTCATCATAAACATTATTGAGATACATGGGATTCTTTGGATTCACTGTTCTTGCGACTGGTTCTTGCTGCATAAGCTCTTGAGCTTCTCTACTGCTTCATGCAACTGCCCTTCACCTTCTTCTCTCAACTTGTGACTCAATTCCTTAGCCTTTTGTTTCACTGATTCTCCCAGCTCTATCTTCTCTACGACCACCTCTTTTATGACTTTAGCAACATTTTCCCTCTTGATCCGCCCATCTTCATCCCTCAAAATCTCAATGCCAACACCAATCTCCACCGCAAGTCTAGCTTGGAAAGGCTGATCATAAAGCATGGGCAAGGCTAACAATGGAACCCCATAATATAAGCTTTCCATAAAAGAACTCCATCCGCAATGGCTCACAAAACCACCAGTGCTTGGATGCTCAAGAATTTTAGCCTGCGGTGCCCATCCATCCACCACCACACCTCTGTCTTTCACCCTCTCGAGAAACCCTTCTGGTAGAGCTTCTTCAAGGGCAATGGCATGTCCCACGGGGAATCTGACTACCCATACGAAGTTAGCATTACTCAGCTCCAGGCCGTATGCCATCTCTTCCCTTTCTTCCTCGGACAGAAAGTATTCGCTCCCGAAACAAACATAAACCACTGATGATTCCTCTCTACCATTCAGAAATTCAATGATATGGGAACTGTTTTCCGTCTCCTCCTCCATCTTGGTATCATCATGTTTTAGTTCAATAAGAGGACCAACAGCTAAAATCTTCTTCCCACGAGAGGAAGATAAGTGATCAATGTATTTCCCGTCAATCTCTCTGCAGGCTTTCAGCAAAACAATGTCAGAAGATACTTCAAAGCCCTTAGTTTTGGATAGCACAACTTCTTCGGGAACTTTTTCTTTTGATTCTTGGAGAAATGCTGCCATCCTCTTTATTTCATAATCCCGGAGAAAAATTGCAGGAAAAGGGTAAGTCCCATCGATACCGGAGTATCCTTTATTGATGATATCGTAAAAGTACGACCAAGACCAAAAAACTGCTCCACCGCCTAAGAAAAGAACAGCTGGGATATGAAACATTGAAGCCAGCTCCGAGGCCCATGCTTGGAACATGTCGTAGATTAGCAAATCTGGCTGCAAAATGTTTAGGATGTTTTGGAAGTGGGTCCTTCCCATGTAAAACGCAACATGGAGGGTTGGATTCAGATGGGGTGGGAGGTTTTTGGTTGTGTGATAGTGTGGAGGGAGTTCAGGGAAGTGTGGCAAATCAAGTTGCACTAATTCTATTGAATGATCGGAGAAGTACTCGTCCAAGTTTCTATCTTTCTTGACGAAACTCAGATTGATCTCAGTGGAACAAAAGTAGATCTGGAAGTTGTTTTTGGCAAGTCTCTTGGATAGTTCTAAGAAGGGAGACATGTGGCCATGAGCTAGCCATGGGAACATCAAAACTCTGAATCTACGAGTATTAGATTCGTCGTTTGATGTCTGCTCCATAGGGGACTTGATTGAATCTCTGGAATCCTATGGTTTTCTTTGTTAGGAGAATGGAAGCAGTCCCAAAATAATAATGAGGAGTCTCAATTTTGGATCCATCGGACGGATAATGAAGTGGAATCTTTGTGGTTGACTCTCGACTCCTCGAGGACAAAAAGATATTTAATTCAATAATCATATTGCCATAACGTATGTGTAGCATTCATGCGGGGACCCATTTCCAGCTCTACTTTTTTTATTCCTGCCAAAACCCGTTTGCTGTCATCAGACTTTTGTAAAAAAACTATTATATGGCGCGAAAGCAATTTTAACACGGGTCCATGAATAAATGAAATGCACTGGTAACTGGTGAGAGGCACAAAACTTCACCCACCACAGTGCATGCCTTCACCCTACCATAATTACCCAGTCCCAAGAAACATGAACAACAAATTAATAACAATAATGTTTGTTTGTCAATGTAAAATCTATCGTCAGATAGATATTTTCATGCAATGATTTCCCCTAAATGAATTGGGTATTTTCGGAAAATTTTCTTGTGTTTGTTAAAATTCTTTTAGAATATACTATCCTCTTAAATAGTCTGTGTAATCAATCCACTATCCAAAAAGAAAAAAAGAAGAAAAAAAAAGTCTGTCCAATCTAGTAGTTGGCTGACTTGGCTCCCATCGTACTGCCCTGTCATTTCCCCCTTTTTCCAACACCGCCCAAGCTAAAAGCGTACTCCACGGCCCGACTACTGATTCTAGGAGTGTGCATGGACAAGCCAATCCTTTCTCATTATTTCTTTGCTTCACCAAACCCTAGTCGCCATGGTTATTAAATCCGGCCCGGAAAGGAGATCAGTAAAGAAGGTGGGTCAACGGATTACTGGTTCAATCAGTGGATGAGTGGTTGAACCAGTGAATCACTAAATATATTCAAATATTATATTTTATAATTTTTTATATAGGATATATGATATAAATTTTAATAAATAATGTCATAACAAATGCTCATTTAATTTAATTTGCTATAGAATAATTAATTCATATAAGAATCAGCAAAACATAAATTTAATTAGTGATCCACCAAACTTCAAGTGTAAAATTTTATCTATGTTTAGTGTAATTATCTAGGTTACTTACGAATTTTAAGTGTAAAAAATTATTAAAAACAATATTTATCTTTAAAATAAATTATGTAATACGTTATTTTTGAAATATATTTTATAATTTATAGAATTTGGGGGTCATAAGTTTGTATTAAAAGATTCCAAATAAATTTTTTTTGGAGAAATAAAAAAAGAATAAAGATAAAATTGATAAAACGTTCATATAGTATAAGAATGATAATTAACTAACATGTGGCAAAATGGTTTGGTGGTGAGCTTAAAAAATGGGTAAAAAATTTTTTCTCAAAACTGTTTCTCCACAAAATTGGTCGGGTTTCTGGTTTAATTCGGTTGAATCACTGGATCGTTGACCAGTCAATGATTCCGGTGCTTAACTGATCTAATTAGAGACCCGGTCCGGTCTACTGGGGATTGACCGGTTTGACCGTCGAATCGGGCCGGGCCGAGTTTTATAACTATGCTTCTCACAATTTTCTAATAATTCATGAAACAAAGAAAATTTAATGAAAATTTTATAAAGAAAAAAGGAGAAAATTATATCCCTTTTCTTTTCTTATGAATTTGTCTCTGCCCAATGCTGCTGGAGTAGTCCACGTCTTCATTTTCCCACGCCTCAAAGGATACCTCGCATTCTGCTTATCATTTCTTGAAGAATTCAATAGATGCATGTGTTCTTACTTTTCTTTGTTTATTGGTGCTGGTAATCATGATGCAGTCCTTACTAAAATTGATAAACCTTTTAAAGAAAATCACCTAAAATACATTGGCTTAGAATTCCGGTTAAGGGCAAAAAAAAAAAAGGTAATTTAGCCTTATTTGGATTGAAAGCTTAATAAATTTGTATTCATTAAAAGTTGTGTTAGCTAATCAATTCCATTCAATCTCAAATTTACCTAATCTAATACACTAATTGCATGGTGTGCAACATACTTACCGGAATCATTTTTTTTTAATTTTATCGACTATCATTTTGTCTCACATACATTATACCAAGTCACAAAAAGTGTTATGATATTAATCTAATTTTTTTGTTCAACTAAACCTCTATCGAATCACACTTTTATTTAAAGTCAAATGATATCTTTTCCCTTTACGGATCATTCATATATTTTTTTTTCCTTGGTTTACAATTAGACTGCACCAAAATAATAAATATTTCTTATTTTAACTAATGTGTCACAGCTTTTATGATTGTATTGCAACTGATATAATTTTTTCCTCAACCTCATTTGTTTACGCTCAATTGGTTTACAAATCTCCCACTTTAATGTGAATCTTGTCCTAGTACTTTAGATGTCCCCTTCTATCTGCTAGTGCACCAAACCGTTATGTGGCTCCCATACATGTACAACATTAAGTTGAACTAGCATTTTGCATGTGCCTTAGCAAAGTTTGTTTTTTAAATTTGTTATGAATTTGTGCGGGCATGAACAATTTAGATAAAAAAAATTGACGATGATCTTACAAGTTCATTCATATTGATTTTACAAAATTGATGTAATAAAAATACTTAACTATCATAGTAATCTTTAAAAACTTCTTCACAACTTCTTTAACTATCATACTAATTTTTAAAAATTTCTGTACATACTTTTACTATAATATAAAAATATTCATCAAATATTATAATGCATATCAAAAAATCAATATATATTCTAACTTTTTATGTGGATATTTTTTATATAATTAAAATTTTTATAATAACCATAGATCTAGCTACATATTCCTACTTAATTAAGTACAAAAGATTTAGCAATTTATTTTCTACATCAACAAATATTCAAATTCCAGCAATATTGATAAATCTATGAGTTACCAGTTAAAGTTTTTTTAACACTAATTTAATCCATATGGATAAAAAATTAAATGACTTTATCATATTGTTAGAAGAGAGAGGAACCGTAAGAACAAATAACTCAAAATTATCTAAAAGATAAAGTTGTTAGAAGAGAGAAAAACTATAAAGAAAACTAATTATAAAAGAATTAGATACAAATATAGTTGAAACTCAAGCATCCAAATAACCGGTTAATTTTCCATTAATTCTTTTCAATTAGATAAACCACCTAAGAGAGAGAATATGGGTAATTGAAATTACAACTTTCATTATATATATATATATATACACACACATATATATTATGTATTGATTAGATGCGATCAATTGCACACTCATTTTCAATTTCCACCATTTGAAGTCTTCTTTCGAGTTTAGACAATCTTCTATTATCACAACTCCGTTGAAGTTAAACTTGTGATCATATCATTGGCAAATAATTCAATAGTAAAAATGAAACCACAGGAACATGCTCATTTCCCCCTTCCCAAAACATCCAAATTCAGTCAAAGTTTATAATTATAGTGTGAGCTAAAGGTCTATTTCACTTCTAACTCTGGTTGATTGTATATTGTCTTCCAACCAAAAAAAGAATAATAATAAAGAAACTTCTCAAACTTTCACCACTTATTTTGTATATTGTATGTAAACAAGACATTTTGACACAAAATGTCTAAAGTGCTAGAAAACTTGTGGAACTACGAGTGACTATTTTGGTAATTTCACAAGCGTAAAAGCTAAGAATGCGCCCAATCAGTAGCCAATTACGTCGCCGGATTACTAACTTCATGTCATGCCCCAAATCCGGGTCCCTGGATTGGATTTGCAACGTGGCACGTTGTATCTATGAGACCTTACTCCTATAAATACAAGGCATCATAACCATAACTTACAAAAATTCATTAAAATTTAAATCTTACATATACCAATGAGACACGTACATTTCAATAAATTATATCTACAAAATGCTTTATTCTAACTCCTCAGAATTTAAACATCTATCTATATACCTTTCTCACTTATCTTCTAAACGTACACGAACTGACTTCCTTGATCTGCAAGAAAGAAAAATGGGCGTGGGTTGAGCGACGTATGCCTAGTAGATAATACTTACTCCCCTGTTGGATCGTGTAGCTATATACATACTATATACATTTGCAAATTCGATCACACCATACCACATGCATACAGCAATTACAAACATTTGTCATCTCATTTCGTATATTACATAAACATATCTCATTGAAAGTGAGTGGCTTAAACATAAGTGGCCTCTGTCCGACGTGACACTTAGTCCCGTAGGTTCTAGAGGTAGCCCCCGCCGAACATAGTTTAGAAATACACATAATATGACATGATTGTATTCATTGAACATACTTGCAAATCATAAATTATATCAATCATGTCATTTCATTTCATAACATAGCTCATAAACAAGCACATGCAATATCTAGCTTTCGAGTACTCAGTTTAGAGATTAAACCCCTTCTAGGTGGGTGATCAATAGATTTCATGACTACCGATTGGTCTCATTACATACATAGGTCAATTGGCCGGACTCTATACCGAACTACCATGACCTTGTCAATCGGCCGGGCTATCATGACCATTAGGCAGGACTACAGCCCCTACCGTTTATTCCATGACCGTTTAGAGCTTTTCGTAATATAAAATCATTTCACACGTCACATGCACCTTTCTTTCATTTTATGAAAATATGCAACTCATTCCATAAAATATTGCATAGCAAAATATTTCAAGTATTCGTAATTTCATCCTTGCAAAACATTTGAAATAGGCATACATGATCCATTTCTTCACATACCAAAATAAAGCTCTTGCTCGAAAAAAATATTCATATTTAACATTTCAAAAAATAAAGAGGGGTAAGCACCACCTACCTCAAACTGCGCTTTTGAAGAGATTCTTAGCGCACCGTTAAACTTGCTTCAAGCCTATAACCAATAACATATATACGTTAATTAATTTAATTATCTTATTCTTAAAGTGCCTAACCCTACCTTAAATAACCAAGAAAACGTGTCTGGACATTCTCTAAAATATACTTATATAGTTTCTTGAAATAAAAGATTTTTCGTTTTAAAAAATTTGTTAATTGAGACGATTTTTTTTAGAGGGTGTCCTAATTTTAGGAAGTCTCTTAACTCGATTATATAGAATTCATTTATTATCAATTTATGCATTCATTCGTTTGTTTGTTTGTTTATTTGTTTACTTATGTAGAAAATGGCCCACATTAACTTGGGTCGGGTCCTGGGTTCGGTCGGCCTAGGATTTAAGTCCATTTATTAATTAAACTTCTTCTCTTTTATTTTTAATCAACTGGGATTTAGAAGATAATTTGGGTTTCTAGAGTTGGTTTGCGGATTTATTAGATACTATTTAGTAATGAAATTGAATTTAATAAAAGATATCTTGAGTTTTGACCAATTAAAATATAAGCCTTGGAAGTAAAGTTTGAATTTCTCTTTTTTTTAAATGATTTAATAACTTATAGTGAGTCCATATTAGGATATTTAAAATGCAGCTATTAGGCTTGGTAAAATATGTTCATTCATTTATTTGAAAACCTAATAGGCCCAAAATTTTTCTTTTAACCCAAGCTATCATTATTTTTTCTTTATGTCTAGCTCCAAGAATGATGATAGTTGGTCCTAGCAAATTGGCCTAAATGACCTCCGTTACTTCATTCTAGCCTTGATTATCATATAAGAGAGCACTAGTTCACATGCATTCGGCCTGAGACATTAGTTAGACAATTAAAAATAATAGTTTCTGAGCCTTAGCATAATTATCTTGAAATCAAGGGCCAATACTAAATTTTGAAGAAAGATAAAAATAAGAAGAACAAATCTTCAAACCCATCATCTCAACCTATGATTTTCCTCTCCTAATATCACCAACAACTATTCTTCATTTATTTTGTTGAATTGACTTCTCTTACAAACTCAATCTTATGAAATGAAATCAAAAGTCGTGGCCCTTTTTGTATTTGTAATCAATGCTTTTGTAATTACACAAATCCCACCAAATTGATCAATCTTTGACTCTTTTCATCCTTTTGATTCTAACCAAAAGACCACAACAAACCATCACTACTTTGCCTTCAAAATTTGTACCAAATGTCAGACTGGAGATTCTGATTCTCTAGTTATTTATCTTTGTTGGGTACAATTTCTATATTTCCTTCAACACTAAACAATCCAAAGCGATATAATATGTGCCAAAGACATTGATCAGGACTATAACAATACCCATTTGATTTTAGAGTTCTGAACATATAAAACCTATTAATAAAACATTGATAATTACATTTAAGCTTGTCAATAGCCTAGGTTCCTAGTAATATGCCTAGGGGTTTTTCTGAGTGAAAATTCAAACAAATAAGTAAACGAAGCAACATGATTGAAATCTTACTCAATCCAATGGAGATGTCGAGGGTTTTGATTTTTCCACATTGAATTAATCCCTCTCTACCCATTCACTAGTCCTTCAACATTTGACATTCTTCCTTGCGTTCTTTTTTTTCCCCACTCTGTCGTATATTGGGTGTTTACCAAATGAATCAAGTGACAGGCAAACAAGTTTTTGAACGTGGTTTACTCCAAACTCTCCCCACACAACTCCTATTTTATTGTAGTTGTAAAGGCTCCCAACCCTAAAGAATTTGAGTAATAGATAGACAAGAGTAGGTTAGTTTGAGTAGATGTCTTCCTAAGTTACAAAACATTCTCCCTCAACACCTACTATCCTTGGTGGTTGAGATAAGATAAGATATTAACACCAACCTCTAAAGAGATAAATTAACTAAGTAAACAACTAGTAAAATAATTAATAACATTATTTACAGAAAAAGACGGGGTTTCACATTTCACTTCATGTTTTTGATAAGTGAACCAGCGATCATTTTTTCAGTTTTTCCCCTACAAAATAACATTTTTAGTCTATTTTCCCAAGGATTAATGAACGAGGTAATTAATGTTGCAAAGTCACAACTATGGTTGTCATTTCCTCTTTCTCCTTTACATTGTGATCGTTGAACACAGTTTTCTTTGGCATAGAAATGGAGAACTCTGGAGGTCTGCGGGTGGGTGGAATTTTTTTTTTTAAGCAACAGCGTTGGCATAGTCCCCTGCAGAAAGCAAACAAAATATGGAGTACTCAAATAATAAAATAGTTTTTCAAATCTGATCCACCACGGATCAGCAATTTATATGAGAGTATTAATTGTACGTCCATGTCCCAAGAATTAAGGAATGAGATTTGTTAGAGTCTCATTGATGATTGCCACTTTCTTTTCTTTATCCAAGGGCGCCCCCCCCCCCCCCCCCCGGGCCAAACGTGGGGATCAAAAGCGGACGAAGAATCCCAGCATTCAACTGCTATCAATGTACTTTTCTTGGTTAACCAGGCCTTGGGCCATAACCAAATTGATGGACAGTGTTTTTTCTTGGCAGCTAGCCTGATTCTTAACAAACACATTAATAATTGATTACTTTTGAAAAAATGCCTAAGAAAATAATCTAACAAGCAAAAATCAATTACAAGAAAAAGAACAAAAAGATGTCCAAATAATTGAATGTGATTGTGAAGTAAAAAATGACTAATTTGTTTCGAATTGTATAATATTAGCCATATAGAATCAAAACATTTCTTTAATTTTAAGGAATGGTTGAAATTAAGATTATAATTGATTGGTGATTTTCTAATTATAAGAAAATATAAACACACGCACGCATACACACACAAACATATAAAATTTCTTCACAATTGTAACCTAGTGAATGGACATCCTAAATTTTTTGTTAAGATGGATTATGAAAAATAAAAGAGACACAATTAATGTAGAATCACTATATGTAACAATACACATAAACTAAATTATTTGATGAATACCAATTTTAGAAATGGAAAATAATAGATAAAGGAACTGTTTATTTTGCTCCAAAATAAGAATTTGAAAGAAGAAAACTAATTTTAAAAAAAAAAGAAAGAGAAGATAGAAGCAAAAAGATTAAAAAAAAAATTGACATAATGGAGGGGTAGTTTTGTCCTAGAGAGAGTTAAGTGAAAAAAAAGTTAATGGGTAAATTGAAAATTGTGGTATACGTTTGGGGACAAATTATATGAAAACTGTAGCGCTTTTATATGTTTTCAACAAGAATGGATTTGGGCTCAAAAAAGGTTAGTATCGCGTTACTAATTTTTTAGACATTCTTTCTATTCTAGTCTAGCCCATACCAATCACATAAAGGCTTTTTGGTCATTGAATTTTTAGAATTTTAAAACTATAAAATAAAAATAGTTATAAATAAAAAATAAATAGAAAGTTACAAAATTTAAACTATAATGCCCGCAAATATGATGGCCATTTTTTCTTTGGCGTACATCGTCCTCACATAATAAACATTAGAGTGAATAAACTTCACACAATCCATACCATAAAATATTAATGAGTAAAAAAAAAAAAAAATGTCGTAAACAATTGAGATACATGGGATTCCTTGGATTCACTATTCTTGCGACTGGATCTTGCTGCATAAACTCTTCAGCTTCTCCACTGCTTCATGCAACTGTTCTTCACCTTCTTCTCTCAACTTGTGACTCAATTCCTTAGCTTTCTGTTTCACTGATTCTCCCAGCTCTGTCTTCTCTACGACCACCTCTTTTATGACTTTAGCAACATTTTCCCTCTTGATCCGCCCATCTTCATCCCTCAAAATCTCAATGCCAACACCAATCTCTACCGCAAGTCTGGCATGGTGAGGCTGATCATAAAGCATGGGCAAGGCTAACAATGGAACCCCATAATATATGCTTTCCAAAAAAGAACCCCATCCACAATGACTCACAAAACCACCAGTGCTGGGATGTTCAAGAATTTTAGCCTGTGGTGCCCATCCATCCACCACCACTCCCCTCGTTTTCACCCTCTCGAGAAACCCCTCTGGTAGAGCTTCTTCAAGGGCAATGGCATGTCCCACTGGGAATCTGACTACCCATATGAAGTTAGCATTACTCAGCTCCAGCCCGTATGCCATCTCTTCCCTTTCTTCCTCGGACAAAAAGCATTCGCTCCCAAAAGAAACATAAACCACTGATGATTCACCTCTATCATTCAGAAAATCAATGATATGGGAACTGTTCTCATCCTTCTCTTCCTCCTTGGTATCATCATGTTTTAGCTCAATAAGAGGACCTACAGCTAAAATCTTCTTCCCACAACAGGAAGAGAACTGATCAATGTATTTCCCCTCAATCTCTCTCTGGCTTTTTAGCAAAACAATGTCAGAAGATACTTCTAAGCACTTAGTTAGAGATAGCAGCATTTCTTCGTGAAAATTTTTTTTGAATTCTTGGAACAATGCTGCCATCCTCTTTATTTCATAATCCCGGAGAAAAATTGCAGGAAAAGGGTAAGTCCCATCAATACCGGAGTTTCCTTTATTCATGAAATCGTAAAAGTACGACCAAGCCCAGCAAACTACTCCAGCGCATAAGAAAAGAACAGATGGGATATGAATCAGTGAAGCCAGCTCCGAGGCCCATGCTTGGAACACGTCGTAGATTAGCAAATCTGGCTGCAAAATGTTTAGGATGTTTTGGAAGTTGGTCTTTCCCATGTAAAACGCAACATGGAGGGTTGGATTCAGATGGGGTGGGAGGTTTTTGGTTGTGTGATAGTGTGGAGGGAGTTCAGGGAAGTGTGGCAAATCAAGTTGCACTAATTCTATTGAATGATCGGAGAAGTACTCGTCCAAGTTTCTATCTTTCTTGATGAAACTCAGATTTACCTCAGTGGAACAAAAGTAGATCTGGAAGTTGTTTTGGGCAAGTCTCTTGGATAGTTCTAAGAAGGGAGACATGTGGCCATGAGCTAGCCATGGGAACATCAAAACTCTGAATCTGCGAGTATTAGATTCGTCGTTTGATGTCTGCTCCATAGGTGATTTGATTGAATCTCTGGAATCCTATGGTTTTCTTTGTTAGGAGAATGGAAGCATTCCTTATATAATAACAAAAAATCTCAATTTTGGATTCGTTGGACGGATAATGAAGTGGAATATTTGTGGTTGATGAACTCAAGATGCGAATATTTGGGCAAATGAAGCTGAATCATAATAATGCCGCCAATGGTCATCCCAAGCCTTCTTAGGCTTGGTGGTGCGGGGATCAAGGTTCGAACCTTGCCTCCTACAAAAAATTGTCACAATATGTGACGGACTTCATTGACCAGTTTCGATGAAATTTTTACTTACATCGAGTCCTCTCCCCCTCCCTCTAGAATAGACTAATTTAAATTATAGGAATTCTATCGTATCGAAAAAAAAAAAAAACTAAATCATAATAATGGGGTAAAGGGAAAACCGACAAAGTTTTCTCTGACAGCTGCAGGAGAAAATGACTACTTATGGTTGAGCAATAAACTAAAATTAACTAATTTAATTCCAACTAATCACAACCCAAAAGAAAAGTTGATGCCAAGTACTATTATTTTTTTTTCAATGCTAGTGGAGTTATTGCTTGGTAGATGCATGATTGAGGCCAAGTTCTTGGCTCAAGTTCAATGATTGGAAAGCCGATCGCTTGAAATTATCACCAATCAATAATTTAAAGGGTAATTGATCAGTAACATAAATGAACCCGTTAGAAAATTAGCATGCTAAATCTTGGAAGAAACAATAATAGCTTAAAAGGAACCTAAACCGTACAATCATGTTGAATTGGGTCCTAACTACCCACAAATTAAGATTAACATGTGTAAAAGTTCAATCATATTACCATAACGTATGTAGCATTCGGACTAGAGGCAGGAATGGTTGCAGAAGCAATGATTTCTAAAGATTATATGTAAAATATGCATGGTGTAACTTTTTCTGGACACGATGTAATTCATTTTTAAAAAATGTAATTATAAAACAAAATTTTATATATTTCATGTATAATGTTAAAAGTGAAATACAAGTTGAAATCCGGAACATTGGCATAACATTAACGTTTGTAAAAGTTCAATCATATTGCCATAACGTATGTAGCATTCATGCCAGGACCCATATGCAGCTCTACTTTTTTATTCCTGCCAAAACCCGCTTGCTGTCATCAGACTTTTTGTACAAAAATAATATTTGTTGGCGCAAAAATATAACGCATACAACAAAAGCAATTTTAACAGATGCAAAATATGTGAACAGAAAAGGAGAACTCAAGAGCAGTTTTGTCAAAGTTTCCTGGCCCACTGGCGGGTCCATGAATAAATGAAATGTACACTTCAAAAACGAAACCAAGAAAGGACTTAAAAGACTTTTCTTGGGCTATAAATGGGGTTCAAACGTCACCAGCAGCGAAAGAAATTTAAAAGTGGTGTCAAAATACCCTTTTGGTGTAATAAGATTTATGTATCTACTAGTTTCTAACACAAGTCGCTTTAGGCTCTTCCACCCCCGTAGTTTAGGATAGAATAGATTATACAATAGTTATCGTTTTCGAAAAAAAAATATTAAAGTCAGCCCATTAAGAATCCGACAGAGGGATTGGACCCATTGAATCAACCAGTGAGTCACTGATTGAACCAGTGAGTATTAATTTAATTTTTATAAATATAAAATAGTAATTTTAATATTCATAAAATATATAATAAGGTGCTTAGATACTAATTATTATACTTAAAAAGATATATAATAAATATATAAATATTAATAGAAGATTTAATTTCATTTTATTGTACTTTTAAATAAATAAATAATATAGTCAAATATAAAAGAAATTTATATCACTTGTTTTAAAAAATATAGCATTATTTTTCATTATTTTATTTTTATTTAAAAACAAAGTAATTTTCTAACTAATTAAATATTGTCAATTTAAAAGTTAAAAGGATTAATTGTATAATAAAAAAATAAACAAGTTTATAAAAAAAATATTTAGTTATCAAATAAAAACTAAGCAAGTGGTAAAGTCGATATATATTTAAATGAAAATCTAATGTACAAATCTTATCAAAAGCATACATATACATTTTGTTTAAAAAACAAAGACCCACAATTTTTTTTTTAACAAAAGGTAAACTGAGTCAATTGAAAAATAGGACAGATTCTCAATTGAACCATTGGATCAATCGGATTTGATCGGATTATTGCTTGTTTGAACCAATTAGAGACCCAATCCGATCTAATGCTCGAGTACCGGGCCAGCCGATTCAATCAACGGATTGGGTTCGAATTTTATAACTATGACTTCAACCACTCATTGAGGGTAAGATGCACGCCTTCACCAATCATCCATCCACAACCACACTTATCTCTTTCACCCTCTCGAGAAACCTTTCTGGTAGAGCTTCTTCAAGGGCAGTGGCATGTCCCACGGGAAATCTAACTACCCATATGAAGTTAGCATTACTCAGCTCCAACCCATATGCCATTTCTTCCGTTTTCCTTGGACAAAAGGATTTCGCTTCCAAAAGAAACATAAACAACTAATGATTCCTCTCTATCATTCAGAAATTTGATGAGATGGGAACTGTTCTCCTCCTTCTGTTCCTCCTTGGTATCATCATGTTTTAGTTCAGCAAGAGGTACAACAGCCAGTGTTTTAAAATGCGAAAGCACTGGTAAGACGTTTTGTCTTTGCCTACGCCCCACAAATTTTTGAGTTTTTAACAAATAAAATAAAAATACTTATAATATTATAAAGAAATATTGTAAAGTCATAATATTTATGCTATAAAGTAAATTATTCAGTTCAACCAATGGTTACTGGAGAACAAAATATGAAACTTTTAAATAATTTAGGACTCAATCATAATTTTGAAAAGATAAAACAGCAATATGCCAGTTCTGCGCAAAATCGGGAAAAATTTGAAAATGAAAAAAAGTGAATGGGTTTATGAGCAAAACATATCACGGACTGTCCCTAATCTCTTGCGCCTTGTTCCTTTTCCTTTCTTCTTCCGCCGTTTCTTTTCTTTACCACTTTCCCATCTTCTTCTCCCAAACTTACTCCGCAATTCAGTGTCTCTTCGCTTATTCACTGCTTGTGCTTCTTGTTCTTCTATTTTTAGCACAATGCTTTACTAACTATAGTTATAGTAACGAAACAGTCTTACCTAATATGACAGGTTGTTGCACTTTTAGCGACTATTTAATTATTTGTTTGACCCATCCACTTAAATAGGATAACAACTAAAAATATGGAAGTAAGTTTCCCATCTAAAATAGTAAGTTAACCTTAATAGATTAGTAATTTTTATACCTCAAAAGGTAAATTGGAATAAAGATTAAACTTACTTTTTAAATAAATAAATTACTACTTTATATCTCAAACTTACTTTTTAAAGAGTAAGTTTAGTTCAAGTAACAATAAGTTTTTATATATAAATGGTAATTCTTACTAATAACATAGTAAATTTGATTAATGATCAAAACTTACTGATTTTTGGAATACATGTACAATTTTACATTAAAAAATTATCTCAAACTAATATTAGGAAGTTTAATTAAAATAATAATAAGATGTTTTATTAATGATTAAAACTTAGTATCTTAGTTAGTAAGTACTCGTAATATACCTATTTAATAAATGATTATAGGTATAATTTAAAATTTTTCTGTATTTATATATTTTAAATACTATGAAAAGTAGTTTCACTTTTCAGATAATCTTGTAAAATATGTGTCAAGAATTTTAGCCTGCGGTGCCCATCCATCCACCACCACACCTCTGTCTTTCACCCTCTCGAGAAACCCTTCTGGTAGAGCTTCTTCAAGGGCAATGGCATGTCCCACGGGGAATCTGACTACCCATACGAAGTTAGCAAATGTTTTCAAACCAGGACCGGACCGACCGGTCCGACCGGTTCGACCGCAACCCGGCCATGTGTCCGGTCCGATTTATTACTTGTGTTGACTTGGTTCAAAAATCGGTCAAACCCATAAAAAATCGTTCAAACCGTTAAATCTGAATCGAACCGTGAACCGCGATTTTTTAATTTTAGGCAAAATTGATTGAATTTTGACCGAAATTATCTAAACCTATTCTTTAGTTCACTTTTCAATCTTCATTCGGTCTTCTACTCTTCTTCCTTTGCTTCGCCGCCGCTTCGCCCTTTTGTTTTTCAGCCAACAATCTTCCTCCGTAGCCTGCCCCTGCTTCACCTTCACGGCTTCACCACCACCTTCAGTTGCTGATCAGAAGCAAGATGATGGTTTTGATGAGTTTGATCCTCGTAGCTCATTTTCAGGTAAGATCTGGTTTCACCTTCACGGCTTCACCACCACCCTCTTATTTAGTTTAATTTCACAAAAGATCTGGTTTGTCCTCAAATTAGAAAAGGTATTTTTTTTGGTTTGTCCTCAAATTAGATAAGCTGATCAGTTTGTCCTGCAATTTTTTTTTCACTCGTTAATTGGCTTTGTTGTCTGGCTTGAAGATTGTAGCAAAGGTGAATCAGTGGGTTAATCTATTATCTTATTGTGGAGACTGAATCAGTGGGTTTTTTTTTTATCTTATTGCTGGCTTGAAGGCTCGTTAGTTGGCTTTGTTGCACGTTGCAGTGATGAGCTCGTTGGCTGTTGCAGTGTTTCTCTCTTTGTTGTCTAAAAATTGGTAGTAGCATTTTCGTTCTTTTGGTCCATTAGGAGATTGCAGAGGGATTCAATTGAATGAGGCAGTAAAAGAATTTGGAATAAGAAAGAACAGAACTAAGAGCTGCCAATCTCATATGATTGATTCTTTAACTGAAACTATGAAAGGCACTCTTCAAGAAAGAACCAAGTAGATGCTAGTTGGCTATGTTTGACCTTTCGCAATCATTTGTTTCATTAAGAATATTTCCACTTGGATGCAAACGCAGAATGATGCAATAGCATAATCCTCCACATGCCACCGCATCTCACCTAGTTTTAACATGCATGGACAAAGAAATATCTGACTTACCTATGATTGAGCAATTTACATAATTCTTAATTAGCCATTAGGCCTCCATGTACTAAGCTGCTGTCTACCTGGCTGTTTGTTTTTGTTCTTGTTTCTTTGGGTATTAACTCTACCTTGAATTTTGCTAATAGTTCTTGGTATTTACCTGTAATTTACTTATGATTCAACATGAAGGGAATTTCTGGTCTCGGATTTTAGGTAGAAGTTTGAGAAGAAAGAAAATGTTAACCATTATTAACACTAGGTGTATATTTTAGTTTTGGTAATTATTACAAGACTAGGATTATTTTCTGTGCATAGGTATGTGTGTGTATATGTGTATATATATATAATTTATTTATTTATTGAACCGGAGTTGAACCGGTCCGACCGGTTGAACCTCGACCCTTTTACTTCACCGGTTCATTTAACGGTCCGAGTTTTAAAACATTCTTAGCATTACTCAGCTCCAGCCCGTATGCCATCTCTTCCCTTTCTTCCTCGGACAGAAAGTATTCGCTCCCGAAACAAACATAAACCACTGATGATTCCTCTCTACCATTCAGAAATTCAATGATATGGGAACTGTTTTCCGTCTCCTCCTCCATCTTGGTACCATCATGTTTTAGTTCAATAAGAGGACCGACAGCTAAAACCTTCTTCCCACGAGAGGAAGATAAGTGATCAATATATTTCCCCTGAATCTCTCTGCAGGCTTTCAGCAAAACAATGTCAGAAGATACTTCAAAGCCCTTAGTCATAGATAGCACAACTTCTTCGGGAACGTTTTTTTTTAATTCTTGGAGAAATGCTGCCATCTTCTTTATTTCATAATCCCGGAGAAAAATTGCAGGAAAAGGGTAAGTCCCATCGATATCGGAGTATCCTTTATTGTTGATATCGTAAAAGTAATACCAGGACCAGAAAACTGCTCCACCGCCTAAGAAAAGAACAGCTGGGATATGAAACATTGAGGCCAGCTCCGAGGCCCATGCTTGGAACATGTCGTAGATTAGCAAATCTGGCTGCAAAATGTTTAGGATGTTTTGGAAGTTGGTCCTTCCCATGTAAAACGCAACATGGAGGGTTGGATTCAGATGGAGTGGGAGGTTTCTGGTTGTGTGATAGTGTGGAGGGAGTTCAGGGAAGTGTGGCAAATCAAGTTGCACTAATTCTATTGAATGATCGGAGAAGTACTCGTCCAAGTTTCTGTCTTTCTTGATGAAACTCAGATTGATCTCAGTGGAACAAAAGTAGATCTGGAAGTTGTTTTTGGCAAGCCTCTTGGATAGTTCTAAGAAGGGAGACATGTGGCCATGAGCTAGCCATGGGAACATCAAAACTCTGAATCTACGAGTATTAGATTCGTCGTTTGATGTCTGCTCCATTGGCGATTTGATTGAATCTCTGGAATCCTATGGTTTTCTTTGTTAGGAGAATGGAAGCATTCCTTATATAATAATAAAAAGTCTCAATTTTGGATCCATTGGACGTATAATGAAGTGGAATATTTGTGGTTGATGAGCTCAAGGTGCGAATATTAGAGTTTGACTAATGATTTTAGGAACGAATAGACAAATTAAGAGAAAAATAGCATCAGTGAATAAACTACAAAATAGTTATATTTTAAGGGAATTTACTGCAATTAGTCCTTACGGGTTTCAATGTTTCTTTGAAGTTTTCGTTACGTAATGTTAAAGTTGACTAATAATTTATGAGGTAAAGTGATAAGAAAAATAAAGTTAGGAGATAAAGTGCAAACTAGTTAAATCTTAGGAAGGGTTTTCATAATTAATCTAAATTTTAAGGGCTAAACATGCATTTTCATTTGAATTAACAAATTCCTAGGGGTGAAATGACTAAAATACAACGTTAAGGGAAAAGGTGATGCTTGCCCTAAATATTAAGAGGGTAAAGTGAGAGTGACCTTTGCCAAACAATTACACATTTCGAAAACTTTCGCCAAAGTTGTACTCGTGTGGTAGAGCTTTACACAGAATCCTCCCATCCATCGCTCTCAACGAAGATACAGTTTGACAAGCTGAAGACATGAATATGATGGCATGGATCAAATCTGCAGATCATGTTGCAGTGAGACCATTCACTACATTATCGCAATAATCCAAGTTTGGTGGCAACTTTCATGCCCACTGGCGGGTCGGTGAACAAATGAAATGTACATTTCGTAAAGGTGCAATGTCTCTATACGTGAACAAGACTCAAGGGGATGGTTGCTTCTCAAGTTTCAACGACTCATTAATCGTAAGAGGCACACCTTCACCTACCACAGTTCACGCCTTCACCCTACCATAATTACCCAGTCCCAAGAAACATGAACACTAAATTAATAATAATGTTTGTTTGTCAATGTAAAATCTTTCGTCAGACAAATATTTTCATGCAATGATTTCCATTAAAATAATTGGGCATTTTCAGAAAAATTTTTTGTGTTTGTTAAAATTTTTTTAATATATCCTCTTAAATAGTCTGTGTAATCAATCCACTACCCCGAAAAAAAAAAAAAGGAAAAAAAAGTTTGTCCAATCTAGTAGTTGGTCACATCGTATTGTCCTGTCATTTCTCCCTTCTTTCAACACCACACATGTTGAATGCGTACTCCTCACATTATTTCTTTGCTTCACCAAACCCTCCTCACAATTTTCTAATAATTCATGAAATAAAGAAAATTTAATGAAAAATTTATAAAGAAAAAAGGAGAAAATTACATCCCTTTTCTTTTCTTACGAATTTGTCTCTGCTAATGCTACTGGAGTAGTCCACGTCTTCATTTTCCCTTGCCTCATAGGACACCTCGCATTCTGCTTATTATTTCTTCAAAAATTCAATAATTGTATGTGTTCTTGCTTTTCTTTGTTCATTGGTGCGGGTAAGGATGATGCTGTCCTTACTAAAGTTGATAAACCTTTTAACGAAAATCACCTAAAATACATTGGCTGAGAATTCCAGTTAAGGGCAAAAAAAAAAAAAAATGAAATTTAGCCTTATTTGGATTGAAAGCATAATAGACGTGTATTCATTAAAAGTTGTGTCAGCTAATCAATTCCATTCAATCTCAAATTTACCTGATCTAAAACACTAATTGCCTGGTGTGCAACATGCAATGCTGCCCATCTCACCATACTTATCATTATTGTTATCACTTTAGTTTTTCATACATTGTCTTCACCCTATCACTATCATCATTACACAAATATATGAAAAAGATTATTTATACTTACCCAAATCATTTTTTTTTATTTTACCGACTATCATTTTGTCTTACATACATTATATCAAGCCACAAAAAGTGTTACGATATTAATCTAATTTTTTGGTTCGACTAAACATCTATCCAATCACACTTTTATTTAAAGTCAAATGACATCTTTCCCTCTTACGGATCATCCATATTTTTTTCCTTGGTTTACAACAATGTTTTTAAACTCGGACCGGTCAGTGAACCGGAGAGGTGGCCGGTTCGCGGTTCGACAAGTCCGACCAGTCCAACCGGCCGGTTCAAATGTTCACTTTTTTTTTTTTTTGTGTGTTAAGTGCTAAGCATGTTTCATTCTACACTTGAACTTTACCAACATAACTTAATTTAAGTTATGATAATAATAAATTTTCTAAAAGTTATACATAAAATATGGAATGATAAATATAATTAAAATATCATAATTCACCATAAGTTTTCATAAATTCATTATAAACATAAATAGATACAATCCAAATGCTCACCAATTATCACAAATAAAAACACAAAAAATAAATAAATTAAATATTGAAATTCTTTTACAACCCTTAAAAAAATCCATAAAAGAGTTCAAGTTAAGACAAACTATTTGAATAGCAAACTTTTATCAGTGGTATGATAAGCAACCATACCACCTTCACAATTTCATCAACTTAAGCTGAAAAAGTTAAAATTTTATTATAAAAATATAAATCTAATTGCTCAAACTAAAAAAAACTAAAAATTTTTGAAAAACAAATATACAGTTAAACACATAAAAAATTAATTGCTACTAAACGTTACTAATTAACATGTTATATTAAATTGAATGATCCTATACCATTAATTATTTTAAATTCAATTATCAATAGCTTCGATTATGTGCCAACTACCATATTTTTGACCAGCCCAATGTTATTATTTGTAATTCTTACCCAATTCCTACACGGATGTGCACTACTTTTGCAAAAATTTCATCCTTAATTAATCGAATAAAAATAAAACAAAAATGAGGGAAACATATGAAAATTGAGGGGAAAAAGAAGAAAATGCAAAAAATCAACTAAAGATAATAATATAGAAAAAAAAACCTTGAAAAGAAAAAAAATTAAACTTACTAAGATGTTGGAAAACAAGAAAAGTTGAAATTTTCAACTTGTTTACAATTTGCTAAAGATAATAACCTGATAATAATGGTAAAGACTTGAGAAAATCTTGTTGTGGATAATTGGGTTAAAAATGGTTAAGAAGAAAAAATTGAAAAAAAAAATAAGAGAAGAATTTGATGTTTTAATATATTTTTTAGTCAAGTAGAATTCTCAACAAACTTAACTATAGTCTAGCGGTGAGATTGTCATATCCAAACTTGGAGACCCATGTTCGAATCTTAGCTACACCATTCTTGATATTTTGTTGAAGAATTTAAAAAATCGCCGGTTCATGGTTCTTAACGGTTCGCACGGTTCGTCCGGGTTTCAACGGTTCTCCATGAACTTCCGGCTTTAGCATTAGACCGGACCGGTGACATGGCCGGTTCGCGGTCCAACCGGTCGAACCGCCCGGTCCGGTCCGGTTCTGAAAACATTGGTTTACAATTAGGCAGCACCAAATTAATAAATATTTTTTATTTTAACTAATTGTCACAGCTTTTATGATTGTATTGCAAGTCATTTAATTTTTTTTCTCAGCCTCATTTGTTTACGCTCAATTGGTTTACAAATCTCCCACTTTAGTATTAAACTTGTCCTAGTACTTTGGATGTCCCCTTCCATCTGCTAATGCACCAAACCATTTTGTGACTCCTATACATGTACAACATTAATCTGAACTAGCATTTTGCCTTTGCCTTGGCATACTTTATTTTTTTAATTTATAATGAATTTGAGCAAGCATGAACCATTTAGATAAAAAATTAACGATGATCTTACAAGTTCATTCATATTAATTTTACAAGATTGATGTAATAAAATACTTAACTGTCATACTAATTTTTAAAAACTTATTTACAACTTCTTTAACTATTATACTAATTTTTAAAAACTTCTTTACATACTTTTACTATAATATAAAGATATTCACCATATATTATAACGCATATAAAAAAATCAACAGATATTCTACTTTTTTGTATGTGGATATTTTTTAGATGATCAAAATTTTTATAATAACCATAATCTAGCTACATATTCCACTCAATTAAGAACGAAAGATTTTGCAATTTATTTTCTACATCAACAAATATTCAATTTCAAGCAATATTGATAAATTTATGAGTTACTAGTTAAAACTTTTTTTAACAGTAAGTTTATCCATATGCTAGAAATGATACAAATTGGCGAAGTAGTTTTGTTGTCTCTTTTCTATATGCTAGAAATGATAAAGAGGACAGGAGAGCCTTATGGAGTGAGCTATGTAGGCTTCTGAATATAATACATGATTATGTGACGGGATTTTTATATCAATACAAGTTTATTTCCGAATTTTACCTGTTGGACTGCAAGTATACAGATCACTTAGTAGTTTTGGGCAAATATCAGGTCGATTCCACAAGGAGCAATTTAAACAAGTACTAGACCCTTATTTTCTCTATTATTGAGACTTATGATAAATCTGAGCAAGAAGATTATAATGCTATTATCTACAAATTTGGTTTAATAAATGCTAAATGCAAATGGAGAACTTTCACTCAAAATTGAATCTAGGGATGTAAATTCCACTTATGGCATAACCAACACAAATGAATAGATTTACCTCTTGTTACAATCCTTGTTTAACCAGGGATTCATTTCCAATATTACCAGATATCATTCTCATGATGAAATGGTCTAGAGTAGTCCAGTTTTCCCTATTTTCATGGTGAAATATTAGTTTTACACTGTTTTCCTTCATGAAATGCTAAATAATCCACTTAAGTGTACCTCTATTTTCATGAACATACAACTTAAACTCTACTTATGTGTTTCCAATGTTACTACCAATTCTCATTGAATAATAACAACTATAAACATGCTATTGGTAATCAAACAATAACAAGTAATTACAACTGCACAAATAGACAAGTTAATACAAGATACAACAAGTGTAAATCACATTCAATTCATATCATTTAGCCATAGGTTTCATTTACTCCCTAGATAAAGAAATTTAGCTATTCAT